GACGCTGGTGCGCCCGGAGCAGGATTCACAATCCGGGCAGCGGTGACCCGGCACCACCAAACACAGGGCTTCAGATCCCATATTCCTCAGGAGAGCGATATCTTGTGCATTGGCCTGGGACGCATCCATCAGCACCACACCTGTAGCATCGGCACTGATTTCATCCAGGACTGGGACAACTTGGCCGTCCATCCCACACCACGTGTCGGGTTGCAACTGAAAGTCACATGCTCGCACCGGGCGCTGCTGATGAAGGCGCTGGCGACGCACTGCTTGCTGTATTCGCTGAGCGGCTTTTTCATTTCGATTGTCACCGCTTGGGAGCTGCTGCCCCTTGGACTGGGCGGCCTTGGAGAGCTGCGACCACTGAGCCTGTGTGTCTGATTGACGGAGTGCATGCAAACATGCCGCTGTACCAATCTTAGGTAGGACTGCATCGACCGTGGCCTGTGTGGCTTCTAGGGACACCCCTCTTTCCAGCATCAAAGTAGCCATCTTGCTTTTGGCAAAGGCAGTGTTTTCATCCTTGACTCCCCCTCCCCTCACTTCCGGCATGATACTGAGGAGTGGCAGCTGGCTTTGGCACTTGACATGGAAGCCTTCAGCAGACAGCAGCTCGCCTAGTGACGCCTCCGCTTCAAGCCTGCGGGGGCCTGAGAAGATCCTACAGCCGGGCCAAGTACCAAGGGCATGGCAGGCAGTGCGCCAAGCAGCCTCAACATCATTGGGCGTCAAAGCTTCGGGCAGCAGGACGCGACAAAGCGACCTGGCTTCAATCTGCACCTGGAACGGGCCGACCAACAGTTCCCTCGGATTTTGGGCCATCGCAAGGAGCTGGGACTGAAAAGCCAGGTCACGAAGATACATCTTGAGTGCAGCTGTAGACAATGCTGGTTGGGGGGAGGCCGGCTGTAACGTGATCAACATTGTGCTATCAACCTGTTGTGGCGGGTCATCACAGTCAGCAGCCCACCCGAGGCACTCCAACAGATGGTATGGAAGCTGCAGCCACCACTGGAAGGCAAACTGGGCAGGAACCCCAACATAAAGGCGAGGCAGGTCTTCAGCAACAATACTTGCTCCAATGTGGGCCTGGTCTAGCCGGGGCTCATGGAAGTGAATATCGTTTGCAGAACCCGCAACAAAGGTAATAGGCGGAAAATCCTCAACCTGTTGCACTTTGGCACCATAGGGTGTCATGCACACAACTGCTGGCTGTTCGCTGCTGCGGCACCTGTCAAAGGCCCACTTAAGCTGGTGGTAAACATCTGGGACTGCCGGTTTGATAGCAATCAATCCTCCCGAAGTGCAGAGCAGAATGGGGCCCTCACGCTGCGCCCGCACACAAGGCTGGGCGGAGAAGCGCAATGGTTCAAGTTCTGCAGCAACTACCTGGTGTCGAATGTGACCGGCAACAGCAGGGGCACCGTACTGCACAGGCCCCGCGGGTTTGACCTGGAGTGACTCCAACAGAACCTCAGGCTTGATATCGATCAGCAAGCAGGTCTCCCAGCGCATCGTGACCGATCAGGGCCCACCCCTGGGGTAGGCAAAACAAGGCACTATTCCCCGCATGGAGTCGAGTCTGCAGGCAATGGTGGACGGCAAATTGCGGATCTACCTTGTGACCCTGAGGGAACAGGAGCAGTGCATGGGCCAAAGTAAGCATTGCCTGCGGCACAGCCAAGCTATTGCCAAGCAGTCGCATCGCAACTTGATCGTCGTGACTAATCAGAACAACCCGCTGGGCTCCGTGACAACAGGCTATCTCAGGCGCCGCAAAGAAGCGGGACTCACCTCGCTCGTGGAGGAGACTGCAGAGGATCCCTCCTCGAGTCAGCATACCTGCTGGCAGCTCATGTTGGCGGTGATAGCACGCCATGAAGCACCTGGCCTGCTGGGCTGGGGAACAAAGCCGGTACCGGCGTGCGTCAAGTGCAGATGTACCCTGACCAAGTGAGAAACCACGGGTCTAAGTAAACCTGAAGAAGCTCAGGGGTGAGCAGGCAGGGTCGAAGCAAAGGCTCCGGGAGATGCTCGAAGATGGCTCGCATGCCGCCCAGGCTGGGTCGGCGGACCGGCTGCCACATGCAATTCCGGAATTTAAGCGTCTCTTCCGTGCTCACTGATTCATGAACAAACACAAACATGCTCCGTGGGCGGCGTGTCGGCAGGACCTCTGACAGTTGAAGTGTCGACTCAAACAACCGTCGATATCCGGCCTCCTGCCAAGCCTGCATAACGGCCGGGTAGTCAGCATGTCTGGAAAACCCTACAACCTCTTCAAGACACACAACCTTAACCCGCACCACCCGCATGATGGATGCTAGCTGTAGCAAAAGGCGGCCGTCAGCACTTTCTAGTCCCGACCCATGTCCGGCCTCCGACCAAGGTTGGCATGGAGGTGAACAAGCAAGGATGTGTGGCGGTTTGGTGTGCCAAATCTTATGCCACCAGCTGTGCTCCACATTGGCCAGCAACAAAATGGGACCCTCATCCGGATCAGCATCCATAAGATCACCACTCGTGTTTGCTACTTGCAACTCAGGCATCATGGCACGCATGGGCTCTTCAGTTTCTCCGTCTAAGTCAAGAAGCCAGGAAGTACGGATCTGGGCACCCTGTGACGATAGGCTCCACGCCGCTTGGCTCCACCCCGCGAAACCTCCGCAGAAAAGCTCGGCAACCTGAACATCCTCAAAGGAACGTAACGTGACATCCCCAGCAACAAATGCTTGCCCCACTGTAGCATCCAGAATGATGATGTCTTGCTGAATAGTCACATGTGTCCACAAAGCTCGCAGTGTACTACATCGACTACCCACCTGGTTCCACGCCACGTACGGCAATCTCAAGACGGCCTTTCGCCCGGGTTGCCTGGATCCAGTTGCTCGAACCTCCTCCCGAAGAATCTCACCCTCAAGCTCTTGGAGAACCTGAACCCTGACCAACACCGAATCACCAGTATCAATCTCCGGCCCGTCAATACGAAGCTCAAAGCATGCGAAAGAGCCGTGAAGTTCTGGCCAGGATTGGCGAGCAAAGCCGAAGAGGTCTCTGATTTCAGGCCACCATTCCGAACTCATGGCTGTAAAGTGAGAACACGGCGCAATCGGCGCCCCGCTCCTACGGGGCAACGGCCCTGGCACTAGTAGCCTTGCGCCAGAGTGGCTGTTAAACCCTCAACCCTCGGTTGCGAAGGCAGTGCAGTCCCTGAAGAGCATTCGGTCCTGGTGGACGAGCCTGACTGAAGTTGAGCGTGCATCGCCTGAGCGCATCAACCTCTTGCTGGAAACTGTGGAGGATGCTCACCCAGCAAAGCAGGTTTTGGGTCTGAGTTTAGGGTTTTGGGTCTAAGTTTTTAGGTCTTTTAGGTCTTCGGCCTTATCTACCCAGCTAGCAAGCCGCACTGCTTTGTGACACTGGTTGCCTAGAGATCGCACTTGAATCGCACTCTGGGGCAGCCTGTAGCCCACAATTTAGGGTTGGGGATCCCCCACATCCTTCGATACCTGCAGTAGTGTGTCCTCTGGCACAGGACGTGCTTAACCTGGAAGTCGGGATTTGGGCATCGAGTTTGTCGAATGTGGAGAACAAGGCCAAATTTCGATGTTTGCTGCGCGGTTCTCTGCAGCACTTGCATGAAGTGGTAACTGAACACAGTGGGACTTGGCTCACTAACAAGGTGTTGCAGGGGGATGACGTGAGCCTCTCATGAGTAGTAAGTAGTCTGTGGACATGAGTTGGCCAGACTTGACAAGAGGTCACGATGCGTGTAGGTTCAGATGTTGAAAGTCATGAGCGCAGTCTTCTCATGTGCATAATGTGGCAGCTGTCGGTCTTGAGAAGCTTGCAGTTTCAGCATCTTGGTTCCAGCTGTGCAGGTGCCCGTGGGCCCTGCCCCTGACAAGAAGGGGCAGAAGAAGATGGACACCGAGTAGGCCGATAGCACCCCGGCCCAGAAGCCTCCTTTTGCAGGAGGCTCCTGTTTAAAGGAGATCCAGAAGCAATGGTCCCTACAACAGGCCAGCGCTGGAGCCGCCAGGCACCAGCCAAAAGGCGGTTTCGTGACTACGAACGTGCATGTTCGCTTCTGTCGTATGAAAGAAGCCGGTTTCACTTAAGCGCGACAGCCAGAATATATATTGAAAGCCATGTAAAATATGTGGGGACATGCTCGCTGGCAGTGTCCCGGAAAAAGGCTTGACACATGATTGCTCCCGTTGCATGCGTGAGCCTTGTCCACTTTTGATGTACTTCGCTCGCTCTCGCTTCCTCGCTAGAAGAGTGCCACATGCGGGAATCAAAAAGCAACCACGAAGCTTTTCCTCAGTCGCATGCGGAGGTCTTCTGAATTCACTACAGAGCGGCGAGAAGGGCTGACGCCGATCTTGGAGGTGGCGGTCACCACATTGAGAGGAGAGTGGTCACGAGTTCAGTGTTCCTGGGTCCTTGGACTTTGCATCGTCTTGATTTATCTCTGCGTTTGATTAGGTTTGAAGCCTGTGCAGGGTTCCAATAGCGAGGTTGAGGTTGACCCTGCGCTTCTTTCAGAAGCGAGATTCCAGATTCCAGGCCGCAGATGTTCGGAGTGGGAGCTTGTCTGCTTTGGCGTGACTGTGACTGGGGCAAGAGCACGCAGAAGTCGCATGACAGAAGTCAGTCAGATGATGATTCCGATCCTGAGCTGGGCCACATCCCCCCTGTCTCTCAGAGTCGAGGCAGTGTGTCGTGTTCATAAACTTTGATTGCCTGTACAGCCCATAGACTCTGAGGAGTCGAGGAATCCCGCACCAGGTTAATATAGGGGCCTTCATAACTAGAATAGGGGTTGGGGGCATATTGTACTATATACTACGGAACCACCAAAATAGTATTGGTAATTACTAAGGCCCCTATATTCGGACACTTGGCAGTTGTAATGCCAACGCGAGCCAGCAGAGTCTGCCATCGACTGCAGGATATAACGAGACGCAAAGCGAAGCAAAGCGCCCGTCCTGATGCACTCAAGCACCCATTTGTCCTCGGAACATTTCCAGCGATGTCGTTTCGGCGGGCATTTCAGCTTGCAGGGACATTGGCAGGATTTTGCGTGTGGCGATAGAGCCACTATGGACACTGGAGCCATGGAAGGTTGGCCGTTCCCAAGCGACTTCCGCGACCCGAACGAGGCATGGAATGTTCAGGGCAAGCTCTTGTTCTTCGCACTCTACACGGGCTTGTGGTCATGCGTGGTGCTGGCGGTGTTCCTCTACACGCGGCTTCGCAGCCGCTGCAGCTGCCGCAGACGAGGGCGTTCACCAGTGAAGCGGCAAAGCAGCGGATTCGGGGATGTGTCGAAGATGTCGGAAGCCTTCGGTGAGATGCCGCCCTTCCCAGAACGCAAGGCTCGACAAAAGCAGCGTTTCGGGTCACTGACTCAATTTGCAACGATTGTTTGCGAATGTCCAGGTCCACGAGCTGTTCCTGGAGCAGGCGAAGCTGACACCGACGGCGACGGCCCTGGTGTTGCCCCACGAGGCAAAGACTGTGGTCACCTACCAGGAGTCGAGTTGTTCGGTTGTTTGGTGTGTGTAGATGCCTGGGTTTCCTCTTCGCCTGTCCGTATCGCTTCTCGCTCCAGCCGTTTCGCCCGCGAGAGCCTCCCGCTGGGATCATGAGGAGCTGGCAGAAGCCGTCCGGCAATTGGCCGTCGTGCTCGAACGGCTAGGTCCGCCCCTGATAGTCAGCAAGGTGCCAGTTTGCGGCATGAGAGTCAGCCCTGCGAGGCGCGAATGGCGAGATCGTGGCTTTATCTTTGCCGCGAAGCAGCGCGCAGGTGGTGTCGATCCTCGGCGCTTTGCTGTCGGGTGCCGGCTACCTGCCCATGGACGACACTGGGCCAGAGGCGTGAGCGTGAGAAAGCTGGGTAGATAGGATTAGATGGGTAGTTAGGCATGAACAGCCTTTCAAGTGATGCCACATGCTGAGAGATCGCGGCAGGCCAGGAAAAGGCTCGTTCTGGAGGACAGCCGCGCCACAGTTTTGATCTCCGACGCCAACTCCCAGGCGCGTGCCTGCATGAAGCCTTGTGTTGCTGTCCCTGTTACTTGTGGTAGCGAGTTGCCGCGTGAAGGAGTGCAAGCACATTGCCGCAGATCTCGGGCTGCACTGGGTGGCGATCTCCTCCTTCGGAAACTTCACCGTCACCGAAGCCCAGCGACCAGCTGTGCAGAGCGGCGCTGGCAGCGGCGACACGGGCAACGTGGCCATGCTGATCTACACGTCCGGATCCACCGGAGAGCCCAAGGGCATCGTCTACGACCACCAGCATCTCCTGCACGGCGCGTGGTTCTGGGCAGAGGAGCACGGGATGTCGGAGAGCTCTGTCCAGCTCTTCAAGTCTCCGTACTTCTGGGCAGTCATGGAGTGGGAGGTCTTCCCAGCCTTGATCAGGGGTGGCAAGCTCGTCGTCGCTAGCGCCGATGGCCACAAGAGCCCGCAGTACATTACCCAAACCATCGAGAAGTTCCACGTGGACGTGCTCATGATCACACCTTCCGTTTTGGACCTGCTCCTGGACGTTGCGCAGGCCGGTTCTCAGATTTAGTTCGATGCGCTTGAGGTTTAGCATGTCTAACCTGAGGGGGGCGAGCCTCTTCTTCAGTTCCTTCACGCACACCCGCTGTGTGCAGGGGTCTTTGAGGGGCCTTCGTGTCATCACGACCGTGGGTGAGCCTTTGCCGTCGCAGCTGGCCAACCGTGTCGCAGGCAGCTTGCCGGGCCGGTTCGCGTGATTTTTTGTGAGGTTTTGCGAGGCAGTCCCGGCGGTGCTGCTCTCTGTGCTGCCCTCCTTGCCAAGGCCACCGTGGGCTGTCGGTGACCCTGCGGAACTTCTACGGTGCATCCGAGAGCTCATGCGGCTTGGCCGCAGAGAGCTTTCTTTTGCAGGTTGGGTTGTGTTTTTTTTTTTTACGTTGCATTCCTGTAGAAGCAGCGGTTCATGCAAGCAGATGCGGCAGTGCCTGCTCAAGACGTGGGGCGTGGGAGTAACTTGAATTGAACAACTCCCACATTGCAGGCACCGTCTACACGGTGCCCGAGCGCGGCGTCGACACGGATCTGTACCCGCGGTACGTTCCAGCCGGCGTTCCGCAGCCTCACGTCAGCGTGCTCCTTTTGCCTTGACAGAGAATGCAAAGGCAGAGACCTCGTTGATCTTGGGTCCCTTGAGGTAGGTAGTTTTCTGTTGTGTAGCCTGATTCTCCTCTCTCTCTCTCTCTCCCTCTCTCTCGCCAGCGCTCGCTCGTTTTTTTGACTCCTTGGAAAAGAGGGAGAGCTGAGGTTCATTATGGCCGAGGGCAGCTTCGAGCTGATGCCTCCGGGGGAAGCTGGCGAGATCTGCTTCGGAGGCGTGCTGGCTGCACGCTACTGGCAGCGGCCGGAACTCACGGCCGCGAAGTTCGTGCCTACGGACAGACTTCGCGCAGAGCGCATTGTGCCGACAGCTTGATGCATGTTCATGGCGTGCTCATCTCATCTTATGATGTGCTAGGAGGACTTCGGGCGAATCTACCGCACCGGCGACTTGGGCCGCTTCCGGGAGGGAGCTTTGGAGGTGGTCGGGCGCCTGGACCGGCAGCTGAAGGTCAACGGCGTGCGCGTGGAGCCCGGCGAGATCGAGGCCTGGTGCCGCGCCTTCGGAAGGAACCCTAAACTGCCCTGAGCCCTCAACCCTAAACTCTAAACCCTAAACCCCCAACCCTCAACCCTACACCCTATACACCCTCAACCCTCAACCCTACACCCTAAACCCTACAGGAAGGACCTGCGCCCCCTGAAGCCGGCCAGGCCGTCCTGATGCAGTTCGACCCAGTGGAGCCGCAACAGGAGGAACGCCAGAAGCGACTGCTAATTGAGTTCCGAAAATGGGTGGTTGTTAAACTTATGGTCCCTTTTTGGGTACCCTAAATATTAGGTGCCGTACTATATTAGGGACCCAGAAAGGGAGCATAGTTCTGATAAAGGGTAGTATATGGGTTTGTTAAGGGATCTATAAGGGCTTCGGGTTGATGGGTTCATGTGGGAGTTTCCGAAAATAGGGGACCCTAACATAGTACCCTAAATACTAGGATTCCTTATTGTAAGGACCCCAAAATACGGTACTCCTAATCCTCGGAAACTCCCATGTTGCACCGGCGAGGAATGCAGAATATAGGGGCTTAAATAACTACCAATACTATCCTTATCTTATAGAGATGCATAGCCAGAGACCTGTCCTTTGTGAGATGTCTGTGAGGACGCTGAGATGGGCTGCCTGCTGCCCGTCGCGAAGGCGGCCGTGTGCTGCGCAGATCCGCCGCAACTCGTGGCCTTCGTAGAGCCACGGAAGGAGGCCGGACTAGCTGCTCTCGGAGTGCGTGCTTTTGCAGCTCCAAGCTAAGCCGCTTTAGCCAGGCGACGATCCGCGCGCACGAGCTCATGGAGCACTGCCGCAAGGAGCTCATGCCCGCGTACCTGCCCAAGCTCATCGTCGTCCTCGACGCAGGCTCGGAACCCATGCTCGGAGTCTTAGTACTTTGCAGACAAAAGCGACACGATGCAACAAAGCTTCGGCCAGGTTTGCCGGTGCTTCCAAACGGCAAGGTGAACTACAAGTCCTTGAAGGAGATGGCCGACAAGGAAGCCTCCCAGGCACAGGAGACCGTCATGGACTCGCTTGGGCAGATGAAGTCCATGTCCCGAGCGGCCATCCTCGAGAATGCAGTGATCCACCGCTGCTACGCCTTCTGGATGCTGGGCGTCCTCACGGATCACTACGCCTGGTGTGCCATGAGCACGGACCCCAAGGCCAGCAGCACGACATCTCGACACGTCATCTGAGTATTATTATACTACTGCCAAGCCTGCACGCGTCGCATGCACGAAGACACAATGGCAGGACCCCACTGGGATGCGGTCCCTGCCCTTCTGCACGGCCTTGGCCTCCTGGAACGTCGCTCCGTGGGCGGAGGCTCTCGTGCGCTCCCTCGGCAACGATCAGGCGAGCGGGAAGCGCTCTTGCGGTGTCGTTTCTTCCATGTTGTGCTTGAAGTGCGAGTGAGATGAGTGAGGGAGTGCAGAGTGCAGGACCTCTTTGGCTTCATCATGCTGGGCGCCTACCAGGACTCACGGCCCCAGGGCGGCGAGGCACGCAAGCGGGCGCGACTGGGCTGGCCGGACCTCTTCGTGTTCGCTGTGTACCTGTTCATGGCCATGCCGCTGCCTCAAACCTTTGATGCTCTTACGGGTGGATTTGCCTACCCGGACAGGACCTTTGCGAAGTTACATGGCAAAGCAGGGTTCTTGAGACTGGCATGATGCGACATAGACAGACAGATCATCCATTTGGGTGGTTGTCAAAACTATGGTCCCTTTTTGGGTCCCTATTATAATACGGCACCTAATATTTAGGGTACCCAAAAAGGGACCGTAATTTTGACAACTACCCATGTGGTCTCGTGGGCCCTAGCGCTCCCTAAATTTACCAGGTCCCATGTGGTCTTGAAGTCTTGTGGGACCTTGAACCCTAAAACCCCAAGAGCCCATCAGGAACCCCAAACCCTGTCAAATGCTGGCTGATGTTACCCTGTTTATGGGGTAAGGCCTAGAACCCCACGTTATTGGATCTCATGTAAGCCTTACCCTAACCCCTAAACCCTAAACTCAAAACTCCGAACACTAAACCCTAAACTCTTAACCCAAAACTCTGCAGATCGAAAAGAGGCCCTTAAAACAAAAACCTAACTCTGAACCCTGAACCCTAAGCCCTGAACACACCCCTTGTCCGAAGCAGGACGTGGCAGAGCCGCAGCGCTGAAGAGACCAACGGCTGGGATCAGGTCTATCTGGAGAATTCTCACGCCACTTCAGGCTTTTTTGGGGGTGCTAGGGGTTTGGGGTTTAGGGTCTAGGGTTTAGGGGTTGAGGGTTTAGGGTTTGGGTGTTCGGTTTAGGGCTGGGGCTTTGGTTGCAACGTAGGGTCAGGCTTGTGGTCTAGGGTCCGGGTCTTGCGGATGCTTCCTAGGCCCGACAGTCCCTCACCCTCTGTCGCGTTTGGGTACTTGGAGGATCATGGGACTTAGTAACTAGGTACCTATACTTATAACTACTTATAACCATACTTGCTAAGTCCCATGATCCTCCAAGTACCTTGCTGGGGACCTCCCTCACCGCAAGGCCACCGCTGGTACTTGCGGATGATCTTGTGCTCCAAAGTTTACCTCGTGATCTGTGACTGCGTGCGCCTGCCGCCTTTCCTCCAGGCGCATCTTCAGGGTAATTCCTAAGCCCTGAAACTGGGCCCTAACCCACTGAATTCTACGACCACGAGAAAGGAGTCATCACGAAACTAGCCTTCAAGGGAGTTTTGGGGTAGGCTCAAGGTCTTTTGTCGTACTACCAGCTTGTATTGAATTGAGACCCTAAACCCTACACCCTTATAGACCCTAAACCCTAAACCCTAAATCGTGAACCAGTAGAAGCCTCAAAGCCCTGAGCGCCCAACCTCGAAGACTCACTCGAAGCTGCAGGTGCTTCTTGCCGTGCTCTGCAGCTACTTCGGTCCAGTGAATGCCCTTAATGCTTGTGAGTTGGGCGTTCCGAAGTTTGTCGTCTTCTGGTTGCTTCGCGACTGTTTTGTCTGGACCAGATGGGTGGCATGCTACGGTGCTTTCTATGTGCTGCTGGCCTGCATTTGTGCCAAGTATTCGCCGCAACACTCCTCCTGCCTGGCAGGCAGGTTGAGTTTCGGTGACGAAGCATTCTAAATTTTGGCACCATGGTGTACGATTCAGGTTCTGCTTCCACTACCTGCGAAGCATCGTGAAGTTCTTCTCTGTGAGATTGCCAAATGGACCTGTGTGGGCAGCAACCGCCACCTCCTTCAGTATGATTCTGGGCCACTCGTCCTTCAATGATCAAAGGATTGCCTGGCTTAGTGCTCATACTTGGAGGATCATGGGATCATGGGACTTAGTAACTAGGGTTACTATTAAGGTAACTTAACCCCCACTTAGGGTACTTATAACCATACTTACTAAGTCCCATGATCCTCCAAGTACTCGCTTTGGGTTCCGAAAGATTCCTCCTGCTACGAGTACGATGCCTCTTGCGGTGCAACAGAAGTCACGACTGACGATCAATGACAGCACCAGTTCATACCCGTCGTTTTTGTGTTATAGAATGCACCGCCCTGTCAATCAGCCATCGTCATCACCATCACCATCATCATCATTATCATTTCCACCGTCATCATCGTCATCATCATCACCTGTATCTTCATGATCATCATCATCGTCATCATCATCATCATCATCAACGAAATCAGCATCAGCATCATGACCATCACCAACATCATCACCATCATCGCCTGTATCACCATCACCACCATCATCACCAGCAGCACCATCAACACAATCACCATCAACACTAATACTGTTTTCTTTGTGAGCACCGCTGCGATTGTCATTGCCATTGCCATGGTTACTGCAATTGTGCATCATTGTCGCCACCACCGTCAGCACCATCATCAGTGCCATCACCATCGTCGCCAACATCACCCTGGTAGCCATCATCACGATCATCAACATCACCACCAGCATCATCATCGTCGTCGTCATCATCATCAGCATCATCATCCTCGTCGTCGTCATCATAGTCATAATGCATCTTCATTGTTTTCATCCTCATCACTATCATCATCACCACCATCATCATCATCATCATCATTGTTGTTATCATGTTTATGACAACGCTTCTCAGCTGATGGCTCGTGCGTTCAAGTATTGCGAGTGGTAGCTATTTGGCGCAGAGTTGCCCTCGAACTTTTGGATCCACTAAATTAGAGAGCAATCCCTTTCAAGTGGGCGCGGTTGACCCAGGTATGCTCATGGCTCTTTTCCACTACCCCAACCAGCTCCTGGAGAGCGGCGAGAAGGGCTCGTGGCTGATGCCGCTCTTGGAGCTCACTGTCACCACGCTTCAGCCGGCGCTCTTTGCGCTTGGCGCCGTCTACTGGCCGTTCAAGGCCAGATTTGGGAGAGCAGGGTTTCCACCCCCCGTTGCGTGAAGCCAGCAAGAAGTGAGACAGTCTACAGAGAGAGCGAGAGGGAGAGAGATCAAGAGAGACGGAGAGTCAAGCCGCATGGGCCACACGGCATGTGAAGGCCAGCTTCTTGGGCAACAGCACGCTCGGTTGCTACGTGATTCACTTCATCTTCAGAGATCGCATGACGGAGGCCATTCAGATGATGATGCCGATGCTGAGCTGGGATCTCACGGGGCTTCTCCTGCCTTTGGCCATCGCTGTTCTTTGCCTAGCATTCATGTCCACTGTGGGGCCGGTCGGGCACTACATTCTCATCGCCCCGCAATTCGTTGCAAGTTTCGTGAGGCGACGGCTTTTTAGGAAGTCGTGAACCCATCAGGACACTCTCATGTACATATTCTACTTCTGGCCAGAACACTGTTCTCTGCAAGTGAGACTCGTTCCGGCAGTTTTTATCCCGGTCCTGTTTTATCATCGTGACTTTGTACAGCCATGTACAGCCCAGACTTTATCCATGCCTCTCGTGGTCTGGAAGTCCAGGGATTCCACATGCCAGGTTCTAGCACCCTGGCTCTTGCAAAGCTGCATGTCCGGCAGATGCCGAGCCTACAACGAACGGTGGGCTTCCGGAAGGGAAGCGGAAACCAAGCAGTTGACAGCAGTCGTAAACCCCAGACCCTAAACCCTAAATCCTGAAGGTCTTGCAAGGGCTCCGGATAGACCTAGCCCCTGAGCACGAACTTCCCTTGGCCTCAACACCTAGAGCCTCGGTAAAGCATTGCGAGCAGGCCGTGCTGGGCCTTTCTGCGCTGCTCTGGTGGCATCAGAACGTGCCCTGATAAGCCCTTCACCATAGTGCACCCCACCCCTCAAAACGAAGAAACAGAAGGAATACAAGCAACAATTTCCCTCAACCAGACTGCCCGAACCCAGCGACCGAAACTATTCTCCTCGGCAGTTTGGGCTCCGCCTCTGAGCTACCGCCTGCATTGCGAAGCTTCCGGAACACTCATGGCTTTCGCCGCCGCCTCGAACAAGTACTTCGAGTATGCACGAGAGGCAGCCGCAGTTGCTTGTGTGGTTTCCGTGTAGCAGCCGAAGGCCCCAAAGCCCAAGGCCCTAACCCAAAACTCCAAGACACTGAACACTGAACCCTAAACCTCGTAACCTTCGGCCTTATATAGGCCCTAGACACAGTAGGTTAAATCCTGATGAAAGCCGAAAGTGGGGTTTAGGGTTTGGGTTTCAGGGATTTAGGGGTTTATGGGTTTAAGGTAGAGTTTTGAGTACCCCAGCCCGATCGCACCGGTCTTTACCGCGCGGAGATTGTAGCTTCTCATCCGAAAGAAGAGGCCTTCGCAAAAGGAGCCTAGAACCCTGAGCCGTCCGGGCCCTAAAGCCTAAATTCACAACTCTCTAAACTCTCAAGCCTAACTTCCGAAGCCCCAAAGCCCTACACCTTAAACCCGGTTTTCTAAACCCTAAACCCTAGCCCTAAACCCTAGCCCTAAACCCTAAGATTATGGGGTCCCTGAAGGAACCCTCTAGATCCCTTACAGGATCCTCACAGGAGCACTTAAAGGAACCCCATAGACCCCACACTTCATCCAAGAGGTGAACCTCTACAGCGAGCAGAGGCCTCAAAGTAATTTGGCCAAAGTGAAGGCGGGGAGATGGCTCGGTTTCGGAGTGTTGGGGAAATCTTGTCCCTGAGTATCCTAGCTTTTTTAAGGACTATATGAGGGAATCATAATAATGAGCCCTAAAAAGATAGGTTTTCTGCGTTTAGGGGTAAGGTTTAGGGGTTTAGGGTTTAGGGTTAAAGGTTTCGATCAGTGATTCAAGTCCAGGGTTTGAGATCTGGGTTTCTGGTTAGGGTTTCAGGGTTTCAGGGTTTAAGGTTTGGGGATACGGTTGATGATATAATTCCTGCATTACCTTAAGGATCCTAAACTATGGGAATCACGGTATATTCCTTACCATGGGTAATGCAGGATTTATATCATCAACAGTAGGTCAGGGATTTTGGGTTCAAGGTTTAGGGTTAAGGGGCCCTGAACACCAAACCGTTGCATCACTTCTAGGATTAGTCAGGGTTACTTGGGGGATCGTGGGACTTAGTCACTAGGTTTACTATTAAGGTAACTATACTTATAACTACTTATAGCTGCAATTAAGGTACTTTGTAACCATACTTACTAAGCCCCATGATCCTCCAAGTAGTGTTACATAAGACCTGAAAGCCCCAAGTTCAACAGCAACCGCCTTTTTATGAGACTCAATTCCTCGTCCCGAAACTCTAATCCTCAACCGTCAACCCAAAGCCCTATACCCTAAACCCTCAGCCCAAGACCGTAAATCCTTTACGAAGCTTCCTAAAGCCCTTTGCCCTCAATCCTTTCAGTGATCTCGCAACAAATGGTCATACGATCCTCCCCAGACTCCAAACCTACCCCTGGACCCTCACCGGATTGGCTAAGCTACTCTATGGGTGGTTGTCAAAATTACGGTCCCTTTCTGGGTCCCTATACGGCACAAATTTGTTTAGGGTACCCAAAAAGGGACCCTAATTTCGACAACCACCCCTATAAACTCTAAACCCTAAACCAACTTGAGCTCTCCGACAGGTCGTTCCTTCTTACATCCTCGTGGGGGACCAGTCCAGCGGGAAGACGACTCTGCTGAGCCGTCTGGCTGGACTTCCTCTCGGGTGTCTTGCCCGAAAAGCACGCGCGGGCTCCTGTCGCAGCTTTCAGGGTATCAGGGCTTCGGGGCGAGGCTTTAGGCTTTTTGGGTGTTGGGCTGAGAGTTGAGAGGGTGGTTTCGTTTGGCTTGGTTTTTGCAGGGGTTAGGCGTTGTCTTTCAGCTTTATGTGTAGTTTAGGGTTGATGCTTTCGGGTTGCCTGAAGAGTTTCCTACAGCAGCTCCAGAAACCACAGTTAAACACGCGGCCCCACGGAACCTCTAGTGACAACGGACCCTAGAGAACTCCATAAAAGTACCATAGAGCCCTTACGCCCTAGACCCGAAAAAGCCCAAAGGTACCGCAAAACATCCCCATGGAACCTGTGAGCTATCATCAAAGGGGAAAAGGAGGGACCCTTAATGGGGACCCCTACCCTATAATGGGCTATATGACGGGTATATAATAGCTATAGTAAGGGTATATACCTACCTTAACCTACCAAACCCTACTTTTTGTAGGTTTTTTATTGTAAACCCTAATATTGAATTTATAGGGCCCCTAGAAAAAGTAGGTTGTGGTAGGTTAAGGTAGGGGGTCCCTCCTTTTACCCTTGGATATCAGGTATACAGCCACGAAGACCGGCACGTGCCTCGGCAGCCGCACCAGACCGCCTCTGAAGCTCCGTGTGTGATAGGAGGCCAAAAGGGTTTTAGGGATTAGGGTTTAGGGTTTAGAGATTCTTCTTAGTAGTATCCATCTATATATCATAGGAGGCCAAAAAGGGTTGTAGCCTATGGGGGTTTAGTAGGGTTCCCATAATAGGGTTCATATTAAGGAATCCCTCCCCCAGGAATCTTAAACCCCCCTTTTGGCCTCCCATCAGTGTGGGCTTGGATTCCGAAGTTTCGCCATGGTAAGAATTAGTAAGATGGGTGATGGGGATGATCATATTGACACAGGAGGGTGCGACGTAGGCTTACTAATCCAAACAAGCTTCCACGTGGGGTTAAGGCATAAGGATGCCACTAACTCGAAGAAGCCAGTAGTCACACTCCCGAACACCTACCGCCCTAGCCTACACCCCGGACCGGACCTTCAACCGCAAACAGTACACCCCCGCCTGCAGCAGTGGTTGGAAAACCCAACGCCCATGCCACAGGTCGATCTACTCCTTTTCCCTGGGGTTGCTTGCTTTATTCGCTTGAGGGTTCAAGGTTATGTTTTAGCAAAGTCCATATCGTACATCGTAAACTCGTAGACCCCAGACCCTCAACCTTACGTAGACCCTAGACCCTCAACCTTATCCCCCAAACCGTACACCACCGAAGGCTTTGCAAGCCTTCCAAGGCGGCGGCCCTTTGAGTACAACCTCTTCCACGACCCCAGCAAGGACGTCCCTGAGGTGGAGGTGGCGAGCCTATCATTGTACCACTACTACTGTTCCTATTATTAGGAGTAGCAGTAGGAGTAGGAGTAGGAGTACTAGTACTGCCACTGCTACTGCGACTGCTACTGCTACTGCTACTTCTACTACCCCTACTGCTAATATTGCTAATAAGAAGAACAACAATCATATTAATGACAGAGATAGCCCAGAATAACAATAGGCGGGAGCTCCTGGCGCGATAACAGGGATGCTGAAACCTAGGTGTTGATATTCTGAGAATAGAATAGACTGTTACTTACTATGCCATGTTATGCCACGCTTTCCTTTACTACACTACTATACCATGCAATACTAGACTATATTGTTTATATTGCACTTTCTATGTTTTGGTACACTGTACTACACTATGCGGTACTAAACTGTACTATCCGATTATGGGGTCCTATGCTGTACTATACTGTACTGTACCATCCTGTGCTGTACTATACTATACTATACAGCGCATGCACAAACACGGACCCGAGGGTCCCTTCTGATAGACGATATACTGTATGCCCGACGCAGCCTGTCGTTTAGACTCCCATAAGGTGTGTGGACCCCCGGGGCGGCACTAACGGCTTCGTTTTTAGCCCGATGAGCACCCACACCTTGGTTCGACAGCTGCGTCGGGGTGACAGTGCCCCTTTCTCCCGCTTCCACGCCGACATTCCTACTTGCTCTTCATGTCGTTCCATTCTCGCTCCGAGATCGGGGGTCTGGGTAAACGACCCTCGTTAGGCCGTAGCTCCGCGTCTTTCCATTTCGTCCACAACGCAAGGCTCTTCATGTCGTTCCGGTCCCCCCTTCTCGCTCCGAGATCGGGGGTCTGGGTTAACGACCCTCGTTAGGCCGTAGCTCCGCTTCGTTCCATTTCGTCCACAACGCAGGGCTCTTCATGTCGTTCCAGACCCCCCCCCCTCTCGCTCCGAGATAGGGGGTCTGGGTAAGCGACCCTCGTTAGGCCGTAGCTCCTCTTATGTCCATTTCGTCCACAACGCAGGGCTCTTCATGTCGTTCCCGACCACCCTTTCTCGCTCCGAGATCGGGGGTCTGGGTAAACGACCCTCGTTAGGCCGTAGCTTGTTTCCATTTCGTTCCAGACCCAATTCTCGGGTCGGGGTAAACGACCCTTGTCGTAGCTCCGCTTCTTTCCATTTCGTGCACAACGCAGGGCTCTTCATGTCGTTCCAGACTCCCCTTCTCGCTGGGTCTGGGTAAACGACCCTCGTTATAGGCCCTAGCTCCGCTTGTTTCCATTTCGTCCACAGCAAGGCTCTTCATGTCGTTCCAGACGCTCCTTCTCGCTCCGAGATCGGGGGTCTGGGTAAACGACCCTCGTTAGGCCGTATAGCTCCGCTTCTTTCCATTTCGTCCACAAAACCGGGCTTTTCATGTCGTTCCAGACCCCCCTTCTCGCTCCGAGATCGGGGATCTGGGTAAACGACCCTCGTTAGGCCGTAGCTCCGCTTCTTTCCAATTCGTCCACTACGCTCTTCATGTCGTACCAGTCCCCCCTTCTCGCTCACACTCGTCTCGCTCCGAAATCGGGGGTTTGGGTAAGCGACCCTGGTTAGGCCGTAGCTCCGCTTCTTTCAATCTCGTCCACATCGCAGGTCGTTCCAAGCCCCCTTCTCGCTCCGAGATCAGGGGTCTGGGTAGACGACTCTCATTAGGCCGCAGCTTGTTTCCATTTCGTCCACAACGCAGGGCTCTTCATGTCGTTCCAGACCCCCCTTCTCGCTCCGAGATCAGGGGTCTGGGTAAACGACCCTCGTTAGGCCGTAGCTCCGCTTCTCCCCATTTCGTCCACAACGCAGGGCTCTTCATGTCGTTCCGGTCCCCCCTTCTCGCTCCGAGATCGGGGGTCTGGGTTAACGACCCTCGTTAGGCCGTAGCTCCGCTTCTTTCCATTCCGTCCACAACGCAGGGCTCTTCATGTCGCTCCAGACCCTCCTTCTCGCTCCGAGATCGGGGGTCTGGGTAAACGACCCTCGCCGTAGCTCCTTCCATTTCGTCCACAATGCAGGGCTCTTCATTTCCACCCCCTTCTCGCTCCGAGATCGAGGGTCTGGGTAAACGACCCTCGTTAGGCCGTAGCTCCGCTTCTTTCCATTTCGTCCACAAGGCAGGGCTCTTCATTTCCAGACCCCCCTTCTCACTGCGAGATCGGGGGTCTGGGTACATGACCTTCGTTAGGCCGTAGCTCCGCCTCTTTCCAGCAGGGCTCTTCATAATATCTTTCCAGACCCCCCTTCTCGCTCCGAGATCGGGGGTCTGGGTAAACGACCCTCGTTAGGCCGTAGTTCCGCTTCTTTCCATTTCGTCCACAACGCAGGGCTCTTCATGTCGTTCCAAACCCCCCTTCTCGCTCCGAGATCGGGGGTCTGGGTAAACGACTTTTGCTGGGCCGTAGCTCCGCTTCCATTCCGTCCACAACACAGGGCTCTTCATGTCGTTCCAGACCCTTCCTCTCACTCCGAGATCGGGGGTCTGGGTAAACGACCCTCGTTAGGCCGTAACTCCGCTTCTTTCCGTTTCGTCGCTCCGCTTCTTTCCATTTCGTCCACAACGCAGGGCTCTTCATGTCGTTCCAGACCCCCCTTCTCGCTCCGAGATCGGGGGTCTGGGTAAACGACCCTCGTTATAGGCCGTAGCTCCACTTCTTTCCATTTCGTCCACCAGGAAGGACCCCTTTCTTGGGCCACTTCTGGTGGGTTAAAGGACACTTTTTCTTTCCGAGCCACGCAGGGCTCTCCGGCGGCGCACGAGCACTTCCTCCATGCTTCTCACATCCGTGCCACACATTCCCACAGCATCTGCATCTAAATGACCCCCTCTGGAACCTCCCGCGGAGGGGGCTGATGACGTTTACGGAAGCCCCCTGCGATGCTGGGCGAGGAAGAGCGGCGGAGGCCGTGGCTACTGCTGCAGGTCGAACCCTACCTACCTACCTACCTACCTACCTCTTCAAAGGTCACAAGCCTTTTGAGCAAGGGGACCTGCCCTAAATCCAGACCCAACGCCCTAAACCCTAAGCCCTAAACTTAGACCCTGAACCCTGAACCCCACACCCTGCACCCTGGAACCCTAAACCCTGTGGTGTGGGCTTGGATCTCCCAGGTCAACTCCCAGAAGATCCCCGAGGAGTCTCAGCAGCGCTGGTTCTGTCTTCCTCTTATCGTCTTATCGTGCTCGTTTTCGGTAGAATCCGACCCTTACTACTACTCACTATTATGATTATCGTTATGACTACTGCTACGACTACTACTGCTGCCTTTGCTACTACTATTCCTGCTGCTGCCCCTACTGCTACTGCCACTGCCATCACTTGTCGTAGTCGAAGTAGAAGAACTAGTAGTAGTAGTAGTAGTAGTAGTAGTAGTAGTAGTAGTAGTAGTAGTAGTAGTAGTAGTAGTAGTAGTAGTAGTAGTACTACTACTACTGCTGCTGCTACTACTACCACCACCACCACCACCCTACTGTCAAACGGGACCGTTTTGCGTAAGCACTTTGTACAGTGTGCAGCACTTCTGCTGCCCTTTTGGCCCGAAACGTGTAGGGCCCTTGAGTCTGGGCAACCGCCTGCCGAAAAGGTGTGTTGCGCCTGTTTTCTGATACTGGTAGCGGAGCGAGAGAAGATCGGGCCTCGGGTTCGACAGCTCCCTCCAGGTTCTCACCTGGAGTGCCTCGCCTTAGGGCCGACGGTGCTTACGCGCCTCGCCCTTCGGCCCGAGGTGCACCTCCCCTCCTGTGCCTCACCTTCGGGTCGAGGTGCACAACCTTCGGTGCCTCGCCTTCTGGCTGAGGTGCGCAATCTTCTGTGCCTCGCCATCCGGCTGAGGTGCCCCTTTCTGCAGCACCAGCCCGAAGCGGCATTGGTGCCTCCGAGAAGCGCCCGGCCACGATCGGTCCGGAGCGCAAGCACTGCGCGGAATCCCGCGAGTGCTGAGCTGAGGCCAATCGGCCCAGCGAGCCTGGTGAAGAAGGCGCCCCCGCGCGAAGCGGCGTGAGCGCAGAGAAGGATGCCTCCGCCACATACTTGGCGAGACGGCAACCGGGACCCAGCCCGGGAAGCTCCTGTAAGCGAGACCTACAGCAGCAGCGAGGAGGAGGAAGAAGAAGCCGAAGAAGAAGCTCCCGAGGGCGACGCCACAGTGCGCCCCGGAGCTCCCCCTCCGAGCGGTCGGGTGGCCAAGAAGAGCTCAGCGCCACCACCGCCCCCAGCTGCAGCTGCTGGCACGCTGCCTCCGACGGCGGTACCGGTAGCGGGTCTGGGAGCCCCGCCGGGACCACCACCGCTCCCGGCTTCTCCGGGCCAGCCGACGACCATCTACCCCGATGGGACGGCCCAGCAGGGACTGTACACTGCCACGGGACAGTTCATAGGATACTTTCGGGTGCCTGTCGGAGTGCCCATGGTGATCCCCCCGAGGGTTCCAATGGAGGCCAACGGAGAGGCCAGTGCAGCCGCCTCTCCAGGACCAGCGGCTCCCACAGCCGCGGCGGCCACTCCGGAGCCCACGGCAGTGAAGGCTGAGCCTAAGGAGAAGGAGCCACGGCACCCCAAGGACAAAGGGGATGCCAAGAGGGCCAAGGAAGGCCGAGAGCGCCCCGAGAAGGAGAGCGCAAACAAGAAGGACAAGAGGGACCGGGACCCCAAGAAGGACAAAAGGGACCGGGACCCCAAGAAGGAGAAGAAGGACCGGGACAACCAGAAGGAGAAGAAGGAGACCCGGGTACCCGAGCCAAAGGCGTACCCCCTCAAGAAGGACAAGGGGGATGGCCGGGTAAAAGACGAGCCCAAGGAGCCCCGCGAGCGCAGAAGCCCCTCTTTTGAGCGTGAGTTTCTGCCGCAGGCGAGGGCGAAGTCGGGTGCTTGGAAGCCGTATAACGATACCTGGTTCGATTATGACGGCAGAGACGAGCGCCTGTACCCAGAGAGGCGACGTGGTGGACCTCCCGCTCCTCGCACCCCGCCTCGAGGCAGGACCCCAGGGCGTCGTGCCCCCTTCGAGGGCGAAGAGGAAGAAGGGGACCCTGGTGCCTCAGGCAGTGCGGGCCCAAGCGCAGGGCTGTTGGCACCGCCACGCGTCCCAGGACTGGGCCCGGCGACGGACCTGGCTACTGGTTCTTCGTGCCGGGACCGGCGGGGAGACTCCAGGCCCCGTACCCCGCCGAGGCGCCCCAAAGGCAAAGGCCACGGCAAGGGGAAAAAGGGCAAGCCCGCGCAAGGGCAAAGACAAGGACCGGAAGCGCGGTGCCAAGGACCCCCCGAAGAAGAAGAACAGGCCGGGCAAGAAGCAGCGCGAGAGGCGCAAGTACGCGGTGAGGCGCGACCGAGGTTCGGACAGTCGCGCCAGCCCCGAGAAGAAGCGCCCGCGTAAGACGGCAAAGAGCGAAGAAGCAAGCCCGCCGTTGCCGCCGCCTGCTACGCCACCGCCGGACCCCTCTCCGACGAGTCCTGCGGACCGCTACGAGAGGAGGCACGGCGACCCCTCCCCGTCGGACGACGAGGACGAGGACGATGGCGATGAGGACGGCGAAGGCGAGGGCCACTTTGCCGAAGAGGAGACGCTGACGGACGACCCAACGGTCACACCGCCGGACACACCGGCTCCGTCCGAAGCGCCAGCTCAGCGTGCAGAGCCGTTGCGTGCTGCCCAGGCAGCCCCGGCCAAGGCACCGAGCAGGCCGGCGAGCAATCGCTCGCACGGCAAAGCGAGCGCTGGCTCGCAGGGCATGCCACGCGATGGTGCGCCGGTCAAGGCGGGCGGGCCTCCACTGCCCCCGCCGCTCAGTGACCGCATCATCGACGACAATGCCGTCACGCCCCTGGGGAACCGCAGCTCACGCTCGCAACGTTCCGACCAGGAGTGGAACCCGAAAAAGGGGCCTGCCCCAGGGATCCACTGGCGTGGAGGCGCTCCCCCACAACCACCAAAATACGATGCCTCCGCTCGCGACGTAGGGTCCTTCGACCACTACGCGCGGAGGGTCAGGTTGTGGTCGCAGAGAGTCGCAGCGTGGATGCCTGATGGGGACGCGGCCCTGCTCCTTGTGGAGTCCCTGACCGGGCTCCCGGAGCGAGAGCTGGAGTTCGTGCCCCTCTCCACCATCGAGGAAGGTGGTGTGGAGGGCGTTCTCAAGCGCTTGGAGAGCGCCGCCTCGGATGCCTTGGTGTACCGCAAGCACCACTACCTCCGTACGTGGGAGAGCATCCGGAGGCACGGCGGCGAGTCCATGCAGGCCTACGTCCACAGGTTCGACCAGACCCACAAGCAGCTCGGTCACCTCGGGGTCAACATCCAAGGGATGTACTCCGGTGAAGCCTTAGGGCACCGACTGATGGAGCGCTCTGGGCTTACGAGCGAGCAGGCGCGAATGGTGCTCATTGCTCCGGCCAGAGCTTCGAGTGGATCCCGATCCGTGACTCCCTGCTTCTGCAGTATCCGGACACCCTTCCTGTTCCCCCCAGCCAAGCAAAAGGGCGTGAGAAAGGAAAGGGCAAGGACGCGAAGCGGGTACACCTCACGGAGGCTCCCGACGAGGCCACCGGAGAGGCTGCTGAGCCCCAGGCCGAAGACGCCGAGCTCGAGGAAATCTCCAAGGCCATGGAGGTCCTCACAGTGACGGCCCAGAAGCTAAAGTCCTTCACGCAAGGACGCCGGTGGACGGACGGGAAGGGCACTGGCTCGACCTCCTCCACTGGGCAGCCCAAGGGCAAAGGAGCCCATGGCAAGGGCTCGCCCAAGGGCAAAGACAAAGGCAAAGGCGGAAAGCCTAAAGGCAAAGGCGCCTCCCGTGTCCACGTGGCGGAGGAGGAGGAAGCTCCTCACGAGGGTGGCTACGAGGAGCCGCCGCCCGAAGAGCAGGCCTACGACGACCAACCCTACGACGAGTACTACGATGCTGCCAAGACGGACAGGGCCAGGAGACCCACGAGTCCTACTTTGTGTGGATGACCACTCTCGCGGAGTGGATCCCTCCGCAGGTCTCCCAGGTGCTGACCAACGCACCGGAGACGGCCGCCGGCCTCATGATCCGTCGACACTGCCTGCCAGAAGACCTGCATCGGCAGGAAGGCCTACCTGGCCCACTGTGCGACCTTGCGCCCTTTTGGCCTGAGTTGCAAGTGGCTGCCAGAGTCCGAGCGCTTCAAGTTCGGCGCAGGCAAGCCGGCGATGAGCTCTGCCTCGCTGGCGATCCCCGCAGGCATTGACGGCAGGCCGATGGTCTTGGTGGCCTCCCTGCTTGCCGCGGAGATCCCGCTGCTGGCGTCCCTCAAGATGCTGAAGCAGCTTGGAGCGGTGCTCGACCTCCCTTCTGAGAAAGCCTTCCTCGGCTCCCTCCAGATCGAGGTCCCCCTCCACGTGACATTGGGCGGACACCTCGCCATCTGTGTCACGTCTTTTCCTGTCGACGGACTTCCGTGCGACCTGGACCGGTGGCACTACCGACGTGCCCCAACTGAGGAGGTGCTCTTCGGCCCTGCAAAAAGCGAACAGAACGCTGCAAGTGCCGACAACCACGGTCTGTCTGAGAGTGAAGCACTTCAAGTGAGACCCTCTGCTGAAGTGCGCGCCTCCGCAGCCGTTGGTTCGAGCCCCTCTCCTGCAAGTGGCGTGGTAGCCCCGACTAGCTGCCATGCACGGACGCGTAGTGCCCCAGCCCCCGCTCTGGCTGTGCGCATGGCGTCGCCTCCTGGTGGAGGTCCTCACCTTGAGGAGCCGCCTCTTGAAGGTGCTGATGCGCCAGAGCTGCCGGCTCGAAGTGGACTGGGCGAGGAACATGCTGCAGGCATCGATCCCCCCAGCAACGGTCACCGCGGCAAACTGCACGCATCCGACCAACGAGATCAACCGCTATGGGAACGCAATTGGCAGGTACGCCCTGTGCAGGGTGTGGGGTACCCGGTGGAAGTGGCACGACGACCCCGCTGGCTGGGTCTACTGGCCTCAGTCACGTGGGCGGTCTACTCTGCCCTTGCCAACGCCGACTACGGTTGTGGCCCCGAACACGGCCCCCGGTACGAAGGCCAAAGCCAAGGCAGCGCCCAAGGCACAGCCTTCGAGTACCCCTTCCTCGGTGAGCTCCCAACGCTTCCGTCCTCGGACCCGCAGGGCACCTCAGGAGTTCGACCTGTCGAGCCTCGCATCGGGGATGAGCTACGAGCCGGAAGACTCGAGCGAGCACGAGTTCTACGACTGGACTCGGACTTCCTGAAGACCGGTCAGAGGAAGCGGTTGGCGGGAGTGGCTCGGAAGGCAGGGGCAGCCTTGGGACTGGAGCTGTCCACGCTCCGTGCAGAGCTGGCCAAGGCCGTGAATGCACGGAGAAAGATCGACTATGATCACGACCTGATGCAGGTCACTCCGTGTGACAGCAAGGGTAACGTTGAAGCCCTCGGCCTCAAAGGTGTGGAGGAGACCTGGGACGTCGCCTCTCACCGCGGCCGGAAGAAGCTCACGGAAGCACTGGACTACTACAAGCCTTTAGTCCTGGCCGTGAGGCTGACGAGCTCCCCGGCTCACTCGGACCCGGAAGTGAGCAAGGCCGCGCTCAAAGCGCTAGAGAAGCAGCAACGGCGAGGTCACTACTGGACCCTGATAGCTCCCCCGGACCACACGGTGTGGCGTAATCAGAACGTCAGCAGGCTTCTCAGCAGCAGCCATGCACACGTGACCCAGGCAGAGGAAAGGGTTACAGCTAACCACGAGTGGCTGGCTCAGCCTACTCCCGAAGCGACTCCGGCTGGACTTGCTTACCGCGTCCGCCGAGTTGTGCGCGAGTTGGAGCCTACACGGTTCCGCCGCGAGAAGCAGCGTCCGCTTCGCGCCCCTGCCTGCGGCACCTGGGACCGGGTTTCAACAAAGCCCCCGTTCCACGAAACTTACTACCTGGACTACGTCCAGGACGACCGAGAATGGCGTGGTGTGATGGATCAAGTGGAGCAGGTGTTTCGCACGAGCGCCTCCCCTCAGATCACCCTCACACCCGGTCACGAGATCTGGAAGCGGATTTCGGAAATGATCCCCTGGCGGATTGAGCGAGTCCAGCTCGCCAAGGCGCCAAAGGCGCGGCGCTTCCCTCGAGACATCCCCTTCACTCACCGTGCCACCGTCAATCCCTGTTCAAAGCAACTGACCTTCCGTTCGTTGGTATCTAACCTTCTGACCTTTTCGTTTTGGGAGCCTTAAGGGGCTTTGAAAGCAGGATTTAAAGTGAGCATTGAAGACCATGAACAGTGAACAGTGGACAGCAACAGCAGCAAAAGCCGGAGCAGCAACAGCAGGAACAGATTGCAAGTTGGACTGGGGTGGGGCAGGGCAGGCTCATCAACGATGTCATGAATATATTGTTGCCAGAGGGAATATACACGACACTGTCCACCGTCCATTGTTCTACGTCTACCACTACTACTACTACTACTACTACTACTACTACTACTACTACTCCTACTACTACTACTGCTGCTACTACTGCTACCGCTACTACCGCTACTACTACTACTACTACTACTACTACTACTACTACTACTACTACTACTACTACTACTACTCCTGTGCACAGGGAAGACCCCACCCAAGATGCAGCTATACTCAGTTGCAATCAAAACAATGGCGCTTTTTTTTGCTCTCAGTTCTGCTCTGCCAGCTTCTTCTTCACGGGGCGGAAGAGAACAACGTTGCCTGCGTGCAATCCACACAGCTTGCAAACCAGTAGTTGTGGTAGTAGTGGTAGTAGTGTAGTAGTCAGTGGCAAAACAGCATCCGGCCACAGTCCAGTAGTTCATTGGTGCCAAAGCCATCGAGAGCCCGACCTGGCTCGCAACATTGCATGGGAACACATTGTTGAAAGCATCACTCAGGCACAGACTGTGATGCATCATGCTGGTTCGTCCTTTTCTCTTCAGGTCCTGCAAGCACCAGGGCTGATCAACACAATTGAGAAAAAACAGCACGAGTCCTTCTCATCTTTCGCCGGCTGAACACGGCGAATCCAACGTGGCGTTTGTGTGCTCACCGTTCGAGTTGAACATGCATCAACATCATCTGTAGCCTCCACGTCCACATGACAAAAAGGCGAGTCTTCTTCTGATTCTGGCGGCTCTCGCGATTCTGCTTCTTGCTCTTTGGCATTTTCAGCCTTGTTCTTCGTCCATTGTGCCCATCCCGACTTACCAGATCTGCCACTCCGATTGCTGGCGGGTTTTTTGGCAGTATTCTTCTTCTTTCTATTGACCTTCCGGCCCATTCTCCACAAACAGTGGACAATGGACAGTGGACAATGGACAGTGGACAATGGACTAGTGTTGTCGTTGTCCGTTCCGCAATGCTGCTGCCCAACAATATCAGTGGACAGTGAGTGGACACTGCACGTTGGATGAACTAGTGCTGTCCGTTCTGCAATGCTACTGCCCTGAATTTGCAGACTCTGCACAACATTGTTCATGATTATGAAGAACATGATGCTGATGCCACATTCTCTCTCTAAAGCTCGAGCACAGAACACTGCATGCTCCAGAAACTTGTCATATGTTCTGTCCAGAGGCCCCAAATGCAAACATTAACAGAAAAGCAACTGCTTTATGTAAAAGTAGAACATGTAGTAATGTAGTAATACTACAACATCAGTGTGCACACACATGACAGCCTGCATGCTCACACAGCACTGCGCGCGCACTGCGCGCGCACTGCGCGCGCACAGCGTTAACATTGCGCGCGCACTGCGCGCGCACTGCGCGCACACTGCGCGCGCACTGCGCGCACACTGCGCGCGCACAGCGTGAACATTGCGCGCGCACTGCGCGCGCACTGCGCGCGCACAGCGCGTGCACTTTTTCACAGCAGCCTGTGCAGCATTCTGCGCGCATAGCGCGCGCACACACGATATATGCGCGCGCACTGCGCGCGCGACTGCTGCTGCTGGCAACAGTGGACAGTGGACAGAGTCTGAGCTCGTTGAGGTAGGACCCCAGCACCTGCAGGCCAACACTGTCACTCGCAGTGGTTCACAGAATCCCTCAGTTTCACCCTCCGCAAGCCCCGAATCCCTCCCCCACAATTAAAAAGGTCGCGAATTAACCGACGCCTCCTCCGGTTAATTCGCCTTTCCCCACCTTTTGCCCTGCCTTGGCACGATACCCTTTTAGACCTAATAACTGTCCACTGTCCACTGTCTACTGTCCACTGTTTGTTAGCACTGCCAGCCGTGACTGGAGACTTGCAGGCCGGCTGGGCACGTTTACTAATACAGAGTTTCATGTGCAGAAAATAGGCTTTTCAGGGTTAGCTTTCTGGGGGTATGTTTCAATGTGGAGGATTCAGAGGTTTTGTGGGTTGGACGAAATCTTTCATTGTCTTAAGCTTGTGCCCTGATCAGCACTTGTTACCAGTATGCTCATGTCCATCAGCAACAACTTCACAGCTGCCCACACCCTCGACACTAACACCATAAATTGAACCGCCTGGTGTGACAGGTGAGGGGGGGGGGGCGGGGCGGTCGATTAATGTACCCTAGGGGTAATCATTGAGATCATTCAGGCTTCCAGCTTACTCTGCAAGTGTGCTGTTGCTTTGAAGTTACATGTATCAGGGCTTCCTTTGTGCTTTTTAGCTGAAGGGTTACTGCATTGAGTAGGTTATTCAAATCATTTCAACCGCTATCAAAATGGCGGCTACTACTCCAAATCCAGCCACAAGTGCTGGCCGCCAACAACATCATCATTGAATGCTTGGTTGTGTGTGATCTGCTTCGAGGAATGATGATTGGATAACTTCATGTCGCGTCAAACATAACCGTGTTACTTGAGTGCTTTGTTTTGTTCCAGAGATGTCTTCATGCGAAGTAACGGTGCCCTGATTCATTGATTCGCATCCCTAGAGTAGATAGAATGCTTTCTGTGAAACCCAATATACTACCACCTGCTCGCGCGCCCATTTCACTGTTCACTGTTTGCTGTGCATTGTCCACTGTACTGTAGCCAGTTGCATTGACTGCGGGCTTGCTTGGCACATTTGCAGGGATAGCCTAACTCAGGTTGCATCGCCAGCACTCTGCATGGGCCCAACCCACCACAAACTTGCAGGGGCCCTTGCGGACCAGCCAACTGCAAGGGGCAGGTTAGGCCAACCAAATGCAGGGGCAATGCACCTCAACACAGGAATTCAGAATATGTTTGGGTGTTGTGAATGTTGTGAATCACGAGTAGTTGCCATCCCTATGAGGTGAGACTTCATGGGCCTGACTGTGCTGCCCAAGCTTTTTTGCCTGCCTTGCGCTTCTTATGTCGCCAGGCATTCCTGCTCGCGTGGGACTTCACAGTGTCCTGGGAGCTTGGCATCTCGGCTGAGGCCGTGGAGTCGGGGCCTTTTGTAACAGTAGACAGTGGACAGTGCACAGGGGACACGGTCGTAGTAGTAGTAGTCGTACTAGCACTTGGCGAAGGAGGCGCGATAGGTTCTGGGTCTTGCTTTGGTGACATGGCTTCTGGATCATCGCTCGGCATAGCAAAGCATACTGCAACTGATGCATGCTGAAGGGCCTCCGCCACGTCTTCCTCGTTTGCATGGCAGTAGTGCCGCCTGAAGGTTCCCACGTCGAGCCGCTGCTGGATTTCCATGATGACATGCTCAGAGGCGCGTTGACCGCCCTCTGGGGTTGCAAGCAACAAGGCAGATGCAGTGTGTCTAGTAGCTCCATGCACTGTCACATGTGAGCCTTTGAATTTCACATTCCAACGTCTGCGGCCGGTGAGTGCGAACATCACTTTCGCGACATGGGTCACTGCTTTCCACACTGTTTGCCTGGCCATCCACGGTTGCTTTGCTTTTTTGGTTTGAGCTGGGAATATGTACCTGCTGCCAATGGGCCAGCAGAAGGCTTTGGACGAGCGTGGCGGAAAGTCTTGAAACACGCCTGGGTGGGACTTCCTGAAGGGCTCAAGTGGGGGCAGCACACATCTCTGCACACCTTTGTCCATCACCTCCCTGAGTGTGCTGACAACATCAGGAGCAAGACGAGCAGCGATGCAGTCAGCCCCAAGTTTGCCCATTCCTTGGAAGTCTTTGTTGTCTTCCCGCTTTTGGAACAAGATGTGAGGAGCATCTTGCATGTGCCCTCCATCCAGGAAAACATCCGAACCTCGAAGTTGCAATGCCTCAGAAATTCGACGGGAGGTAACCATCGTGATCCATAATGCCATGACATACCGTGGCCCGGCAAAGTAAAGGCTCACTGCCAGGAACAGCAAAAGGTCTTCCCTGGGAACGAACAAATGCTGGAGGTCTGTCTTCGACAGCTTTTTACCTTTGTTCCATGGCTTGCGCTTGGCTTCTTGCACAGTGGACTGTGTCTTCGACCTTCTTTTCTGCAACTTGCCCTTTGCGTCTGGCACAGTGGACAGTGAACTGCAGGACAGTGAACTGGTTAGTCTTTTTCTGGGTGCCATGGGGTCTGGTGAAACACTACTACTGGATACTCTAATGTTGCCTTGAGCCAGGAGCTTCTGTTGCGTTGCACTTGGAGGGATGATGTCACACTGTTCGCTGTTCACTGTGAAAACCATTTGCCTTCAGACCCGAGCCCTACAATAACTATGCAACATCACATGAATGCTCCCCTGGCAGGTCCGAAAGCCAAGCTGCTGTCCACTGTTCACTGTTCAGCTGTCCACTGTTGACTGTTCACTGTCCTCGCCTGCAGCAGCGGCGCCGCGGCATTGGCTCCACGGCAAGGCCGGGTAAAGTGTCATCCCTAAACCCCCAAAATGCATGCATCAGCTTGCACTGTCTGCCTGCTTTGCTGCATGTTCACACAGATTCAGATGAACTTTGCAGTGCTACCTTGCCGCCGGTGTTTAAATTCGACAAGACCACTGTGCCCTGTTCCCACTGTCCCTTGTTGACTGTACATATTTTGTTGTGTGCCTGAAGCAATGGCTGACACGGGTTCGGCGGCTGGATCCACGATTTCGACTGACGGCTTTGAGGCAAGGCAAGGGCACTTCTCTGTTTGAGCTGAGTATTGAATGCACTGCTTTAAATAGCCCAGACCCCAGCCTGTGCTGCAGGAAGTCAATTTCCAAGATGTTTATGAAGAAGCGGAGAAGACGAAGGGCGACAAGAAGGACGCTACGCCTGCCGTGGTGCCTGCGGGGGTCCCTGATGACGGGACGGTGACAGAAGCACGGCAGCAG